GCTGTCTCAGGGTCGCTGTTCCCGTTTCTTTGAGCGGCACGAGAGGACCGTGAAGGCCGGGCCAGCACTCAGCCAGGCCAGCTGCCCGCAGCCTGAAGGGCAAGAGGCTGGGCGTGGAGCCGGCTTGGAGCAGCCGCTGCCACCCCAGAGGTGACTCCTCAGGGCCAGCTGTACCTCCAACCCCCACAAAGACCGTAGATCATAGAGGCAAAACTGTGCTCCCTAAAACACAGAATGAAAGGGAATTTTAAAAGCAAATATCCGAGACTCAAGAACCGTAGTGGTTCTGAGTGTTGGCCGGTGACCAGCTGCTCCACCACCCCACAAAGCCCGTCAGCGAGGCCGGTGACAGAAACGCAGCGCCTGCCTGCCCTGCTCCTCCACTCCGCAGGGGCACTTTGGGGGTAAGACTAGGGAGGGGTGCGAGCCACGAAGCTGGCTGCTTTCCCTGCAGGGATGGCAACTGGGGACCCTAAGGTATGCAGGTGGTCTCCTTGGGGCTAGCCCTGCACCCCTAGTATCAGATGAGGCTGAGGAGGACCCAGGAGCCAGGGGTCTTTAATGCCAGTTGTGTCCTGAAATGAGCCCCTGATGAGCCCTGGAGAGGAAGAAAACCTGGGGGACATGTGCCTGGAGTGGGGGCACCAGGTCTGTCTGCTGGACACCTGCAAGATGCCCAGCAACCCTGCCAGGCCCTGTCCCACATGCCATGCATACCTGCTGGGCCAGGTGACATGAGGTGGACCTCAGAGGAAAGCCCAGGTCTCTGCTCTTCATCCCTGGGGCCATGGCCAGCTGCGCCAGTCCCAAGCAGGCACCTTCTGGGACAATGAGGACACTGGGCAGGATGGGGGCTCCACTCACCCCGGCGGAGAGCACTGCAGAGCCTGGCTCCACCCTGGCCTGGTGGGTGGCTCGGCTGAGATCAGCTGGCTCCAGGGGCCAGCCAGGGGCCTTGAGGGGCCGGCAGCGGCCCTGCCCTGACACCCTTGCTACCTGCAAGACCTGACTTCTTTCCAGGAAGTCGCTCTGGGTGGCATTTACCTGACAGTCCTGACTCCTGCTGTCTTGGCATTGCCAGGGGCTGAGGACAGACAAGGCTGAACAGCCCTGCCTCCAAGGAGCTGACCGTTTGGGGACAGCATGGGACAGAGTAGAGGACTCAAATGAAGAACATCAGGCTCAACTGTGGCGTCTGCCTCCGCACAGCAGAGCAGTGGGCCAGGGACCAGGAGCGCGGTGGCCCCCGAGCAGGCTCTGGGCAGGTGGGGGCCGCAGGAGCTGGGGCAGGAGCATTTACGCCGAGCGCTGGGGGATGAGACGGAGGGATCCCCGGGCGGGGAGCTACGCGTGTCCGTGCATACTTGCGTGTGCGTGCGCCTGTGGTGTAGTTACGTATCTGAACGGACGGATGGATGGAAGGGGCTGAGGTGGGAAGCAGTGAAACGGGGCATTTGAGGAGCAGCTAGTGCAGCGGGGACTTGAGAGTAAGGGGAGGGCGAGCAGGAGGGGGCTGGTGCGGCGGGAGGAAGCAGAGCACACAGCCTGGGGCAAACCAAGCCCAGGTAGGAAGCAAACCGCTTCTGTCCTCACCGCCAGGACCAGCTGGGCGGCAGAGGAGGTGGGGTGCTGGAGAGCGGATTGCACTCGTGGCAGGGGGCCGCGGGGGCTCTCTGCAGCTGGCCATTCAGGGCCCCAAACCACGCAGAGAATCTCCGGCCAGGGCTGCGGAATGGCCGGGGTTCTATTTATAAGTGGAGAGGGCAAAACAATGGAGCTGCTGCCGCCTCGGGGGAGTCTGTGGCTTGACCCTTGGGCCCTGCAGAGGCTCGGGGCCGAGCCTGAGCCCGAGGAAGGAGGGGATTAGACAGCTGCAGGGAGGGCCAGCTGCTTCCTCCAGGGCCTTGTCATCTTCCTCAGCCCGCCAGTCAGCACCTGCGGGTGGTGCCCCCGCGGGGGCCAAACAGGGTGGCCTGTCCCCTTCTCCCCTTGCAACACAGTTTAGACAGAGGTCACCACGGACAAGGCTGGAGCCATCAGGCAGGGGAGGTCACCCCACTTGGCAGACTTTTGCCGGGGCCTATGCCCAGGGCCTACTGGGTCCCATGAGACAGGGCAGGCGGCGCATGGTCAGGGGCTGGGCAGCATTCCTGGCATGAGCAGGTGGGCACTGCCTTTCAAACAAGTGAGGATCAGAGAGAAAACCCGTGAGAGCCCATGGTGGCCGCCCGCACCTCGCAGAGCGCAGGCCCAGCCCGGGGTCTGGGCTGGAGACCGGGCAGACCACTCCCTCCCTCGGCCTCACGTCCTCCTCTGCAGATGGGCTGCATCTGCTCCTGGGCTGACCGTGTCGGTGAAACGCTTGGGGTGGGGGTGAGGAGACACCTGCTCGGGACAGGCAACACCTGGGCTTGAGGGCCTGGGCCCGAGCCTGGGCCAGGGGCGGCACAGCCTGCGGGAAGGAAGCCATGCTTCTGCCCGCCACACCGTGAGGCACTTCCCGGGGCTGCTGAGGAATCTGGCTCCCAGCGCAGAGATCCCGGGTCTACAGGACTTGGGAAAAGACAGAGCTCTCATCGCATCGATTCACAAAGCACATCTGCATGTTAAAGGCGCAAAATCTGCTGAATTTTGCTCTGTCCATTCTCTCCCCAAGCCGTGTGCACCGGGCAGGATCAGGCCTGCCCCCAGGAAGCACAGTGAAGACAGCATAAGTTTGGGAGTGACCACCTCAGGCCAACAGCTTCTGCCCACATGTGATGGGCACAGTCAGGCGGGGAGGAAGAGGGAAGGGGGGAGACGAAGGGCAAGGTGGTCGGGAGCCCCGGCTGCCCCCCACAGGGGACGCCCAGGAGGCCCTGCGAGCGGAGGGCCAGTGCTTAGCAGCACCGTGAGCTCCTCCTCCGGCCCCGCTGCCATGGGGGGCAAGATGGCGAGCCAGACAGCAGGAGGGAGCCGCCGGGAGAGGGTGAGGCAGAGGCAGGCATCGGATCAGATTTCGAGGGGGCAGCGAGAGCCCCCTGCGTCTCTACACCTCGGAGCACACTTCCAAAGAGCAGCCGCAATTACACTCCGAGCCCCGGGGCAGTTTCAGAAAGCCCCACCCCTGGACGACCGGGCAGTGGGCAGGCCCGGGAACTGGCCCTTTGAGGTGCCTCCCGGAGGGAGAGCCCTACAGTCCTCCCACGCGGCCCCAGGCCCTGCTGTGGAATCACTGTCCAGGTTGGACATAACCAGGGATTCGAGGGCCCAGCCCAGCTCTGCGAATCACAAATTAAAACTGAGAACCAAACCAAAACGGATTAAGTGAAAATCACAAATTAAAGTTAGTTTTGTTAAGGAGGTTGGGTTTGCTTAGGGAGCCGGCAGGTGGGGTGCCGCCCGCGCCCCAACCGCCCCTGGGAGGAGCTTTAGGTGCGCAGGCTCCACCTCCACACTGCGCTGCCAGCTGGGGGCGAAGGCCCAGCGGCCCCTGAGGGACAAGCCCTCTCGACACCAACAGGCCAAAGGCCCGTTCCGGTCACAGTTGGGGGCGGCATGTCCAGGCCCTTTCCTACAGCTGGAACCTGACCTAGAAACCACCCTGGAGGCTGCCAGGAACAGCCGTGCCGCGCGCCAGAGCCAGGAGGGGCGCCGGGAGGGCAGTCAGCACGGGGACTGCAGACTCTGGGGCGGGAGGGCTCTGCAGCCACAGCGACGGGCTGGGGGCTACACCAGTGCCCACTTTGTCACTTGGGTGCTTCCTGGCCGTGGGAAACCTGACTTGTGGCCTGTCACCGTGATGCCCTCCGAAGCACCGGTCATGAACATACACATTCCTGTCCGGAAAAGCCACACAAAACACAACCGTGCTCACCACGCTACCACCCCCATCCCCGTCTGTCCTGGCGACACAAACGGAGATGCCAGCTAGACTGCTCGTGTGCCCACCTCCTCTGCCTGGGCTGGCATGGGCCCCTCCTGGGCCTGGCCAGGCTTTGGGGCTCTCCCCTGGACACCAGCCCTTTGCCTCAGCTCTCGGCCCATCCCACTCTGGAGAGGCTCCCCCTGCTGCCTTCCCCAGGGCAGGCTGGAGCCAGGGTGCACTCCCAGCCCGGCATCCTGGGAGCTTGGGTTTCAGGGGCGATGCGGGCTGTGCTGAGATGACCCCTGCCCCCCACTAGTGTGACTGAGCCCAAAAAAGGACCAGAAAGGGGCCCCGCGGCAGCAACGCATTCCTGTGAGCGGTGGTGCTATCTGGCTGCACCGCTGATATGGAGTCACATGCCTCCGCCGCCTCCAGGCAGGGGTAACAGAGGATTCAGGTCAAGGGTTTAGGCCAAACCAGCTTCTATTTATAAAGAGGAGCGTCTAGGGGGAAACAAGGGCAGGAGGTGGCTTGCAGGCAGCCGAGCCAGGCAGCAGCCAGCTCCTGTCACCTAGTCACACCGCGGCCTCCAACACGAGCCCCTGCCTGCAGTCCTCCCATGGAACCCCAGCTCCTGTCACGAGGAGATGGGCCGTGGGCACCAACCAGGCTGGGCACCAACCAGGCCGAGCACGCGTGGGAGGCATGCCCGGGTCTGGGTGGGTGGGTGCCTTGGGGACTGTCCTCTACGCCACAGCTGAGGGGCCTCACATGAGAACAGGTGCAGACAAGCGCCTCAGTTCCGTGAGGACCAAACAGAGCACACGCCATTTTAAAGCCCAAGCTTTCAAAAGGGGCAGGCGCTGTAGGGGGTGGAAGTAGGGACAGACGTTGACCAGCCAGAGCACCCCGGGCACCACAGGTCACACCCTGCGTGAGGCTGAGCCCCGCAGCTCTCACTACCAGCCTGCTTCTGATGAAGAAGTGACAGCTCTGCACTCGGTGCCCGCAGGGCAGCCAGGCCCACCTCAGCCTACTGAGTCAGAACCTGCGGGACCAGGGCTTGAGAGTCCGCACGCCAGCAGAGCCGGGACCTGCAGAGCAGGAAGTGGGTGGCTCGGGTAGCCCTGGGGTCCACCTTCCCCAGCACCCGGGCTGTAACAGAAAAATGACATCACATGGAAAACTTTTATTAAAACACTTTCAAATACACCCTTCAATATGTCAAACTCTACACAGCTGTCCCCTCAGCTCTCCCCGCTGGTGACCATGCCCTGGCACATGGCGTCTGAGGTCAAATGCCAAGCCCCACTTTGATGCAGGCCATTGCTGAGCTGCCAGGCCAATGTCTAGGACCACAGGCCTAGGAAGGCAGACACGGCCCGGAGGAGAAGGCAGGGTGAGAAGCCTGGAGCTGTGCTCAACCCCCAATCACCCCGATGGTCCCGGGTGGCAGCAGCGAATCCTCAGCCCAGCCTGGGCAGCCCCGCGAGAGTGTGGGCCAGGCATGCTTATCATGGTCCCGTCGCTGCCGGAGACCCACTGTCCAGCCACTCTCTGGAGCAGAGCGGGGGTGGGGTGGGGTGGGGTGGGGGTGGGGCGCCAGGTCACGGGGGCTCTGTGTCTCCCCGCACCTCCCAGACAACACGTGAGGGTGGCGCTGCCTTTTCCAAGCCTTAGCTGCTGCCTTCGTGAGTTTCTTAACCTTCACCCAAGCCTACACGCGCACTCGAGGGTCCTGACAGCTAACAGCGGAAGGACACAGGGAGAAGACACCGAGTCGTGGCCTCGAAAGGCTGGGTGCCAGCACCTGCCCTGCGGCGGACCAGGCCGCAGAGGCGAGGCAGACGTGGTCTGGGAGGAGCTCCCACCTCTCGTCTGGGCCCTCGGCCTGGGCCGACGCCCTGGGGCTGCACAAGTGAGGCAGAGCGAGCTGCTCAGCGCCTGAGGCGAGGACACCTGCTTGGCGGGACCTGGAACCACCTGCACACGTGCCGTGCAGAACAGACCAGAGTTTAATAGCAGGGAGGGGGACGCCGCCCGACACAAAGCGTGAAAGCACACACTGGCAGCACGGAGCATCTGCAGCTCCTCTCTGGGGCGTTGCGGGAGCATGTCGTCCTGAGAGCTGCCGCGGGGAATGCAGCGGCCGCAGGGGCGAGGCGCACCGCCACCCGCTCAGCTTCTCCAGCCGCCGAAGCCCTGGACAGACCTGCAAGAAAGCACCGAGAAGCCGGTCAGCTGGCTGCACCCCAAGTTCATGACTGAACTTCAGCGTCGTGCAAGTCCACACAGAAGCACAGAGGGAGGTCGCAGCTAAGACTTGGGGGTAGGCCCGGAGATACTCAAGGAATGGAAGGGAGAGGAGTCTCGGTCTGCCTCCAGTCTTTGTGGCAGAGGCACATTTCCCTCCCCCAGACCAGGCCTGTAGCAGGTCAGGCCCTGCCCTCCTGCCCACAAAGCCCCAAACTGCTGCTGGACCCCCGTGCTTCCAGGAGCTTTCAGAACAAGGAAGGTGAATACGAAGTGTACAAAAAAATGAGCAGCCGGCACGTCTCCTCCCAGCCCCATTCAATGCCTCAGAAACCAAGACGGGGGGCCTCCCTGAAGGTGCAAGGGGTTAAGCAATGCACTATGAAGCTATCCGCAGCCTCTGCAGCATGAGTTCGACCCCCTGGCCGGCCAGGGAGCGACCCACATGGCGCAGCGGACCTCTCCTGTCTCGCCCGCTGCTCCCCTCAGCAGTGTATTTTAGTCAGTCTGCCTGTTCTGCTCCCCACTCTGTCTCTGGGGAATCCTCTCCCACTCCGCATCTCTGGCCTGTACCCCAGCTCTTGTATGCAGAAATAAATCTTTAAAAAAACAAAACAAAACCAGACTGATACTTACGAGCTGGAGGAGCCAAAACTGAATCCTGAAAAGGACAAAAGAGGGGTAAGTCAGAGCACGCACAGGCAGGGACAACAAAGCTGGACTGCAGCGGGTCTCTCCCAAGCACCCCTGGCGCCCACGTCTGCAGCCCCGAGGGAGTGGCTCGACCCTGAACTCCCTCCGGGGCACTCAGACCCCCAGGACAAGGCAGGGAGACCCTCCTCTGTGGCCTGAACCGTCCACTTGCCTTTCCAGGGCTCTTGGCAGCTTGTCTCCACCCTGCCCCCTTGGCTGCCTCCTCTTGAGGCCAGGGCTCGGCGCAGGGCTCACCGAGGGGGCTGCGGGCAAGGCGGCAGGGTGGAAGCTGTGTTCCTTCAGTTGTAAAGCTAGATGGAACCTGACTCTGCCTTAGCCCAGCTGCCAGGACACAGCCAGACCACGCCATCCTCCTACCTGAGGCGGCAGCGTGTTAGGCCACCAGAGACACCTTTCTCGAGTCTGCTGGCTTGGACTGTTCAGCCAAGGTCTAGCAAGGAGCCCCTAATTATTTGGCTCCTCAAGTCTCATGAGAAAAATCAAGTAAGTCATTTCCTTATTTGGGAAGTGGCACAACGTTACGAGTCTAATTAAAACCTACAAAGAACATTTTGTTTTTCAGCCACTTTTGGTTTTCAAAATGCCGAGCTGAGTAGACAGGTAAGAACCCCTTGTTTCCCGTGGGGAGGCGTTTATGGAGGAGAAGGTGGAAGGGACTGTGTGGGGAAGGCCGGCACCTACCTCCTCCTCCAGAGCCGAAGCCAGAGAATCCCCCGCTCTGCGTCCCGAAGGCTGAGGTCTGCTGGGACAGCGATCCAAAGGTTGGCGCGTTCTGACTGGCGAGGGTGCCGAAGGAGGTGGTGCTGCTGCTGCTCCCAAACCTGGTTCCGGGGAGAATCGGATCCTCAGCGGGGCTCCCCCGCCCCTCCCAGACCTCGTAGGGGGACAAGGGAGCATAAACCAGCAGCCTCTTACAGAGGACAGGCTTGAGGCCAGAGCAACCCGCACCTCAGTTTTGGGAGAAAAAGAACGTGCCACTAACGCAACAGGAAAGCCCAGTGGCCAGCGTGCTGGCTTCACGCCCTGCCTGGACACGCCGGAGAGCGAGCAGCGCTGCACTTCCTGCTCTGTCTCTACTGATTCTTCCACCTCACGCCAGCTTTTAAAAAGCAGTTCTCATTTACAAACCGTGCCCCGCACTTCTCTGTTCGCTCCTCCCCGGGGCTTGGTCCATTTACTGTGCCACAAGCGAAGGTGTCCTGCTCACTGGGCTTCCCCAAGGGTCCCGACTGGTCCTGCTCGGGCCCCTCCTGAGCAACAGGCGGTGGGGAAGCCCTAGATGCCACAGGGCCAGGCCCGGCCTCATGGCCTCAGGGCGAGAAGAGGCACTTCCAGAGTTTTCACGGCCGAGCTGGTGCTTGTCGGCCCCCTTCTACCCAGTGGGAGTCCCAGTCAGTGCGGGTCTGCGTGCAAGAGCCCCCAGCGGGATCTAACACTTTTCTACTGAGAAAGAAACGGCTGATTTCCAACAGAAGCTCAAGAGTCCAGTTAACCAAGAACCTGCCACCAACACGCCACCCTCCCTGCCGGAGACTCCGGTCTGTGAGAACCTGGCAGGAATGTGGGTTTAAGTGGGGCCCACATTTAAAACGTTTTCCTCTCCTTTAAAATGTTTTCCTTGACTTTAAGTTTTCCTGGGGGGAGCGGAGGAGACCCAGCAGTCTCTACGTGGAACCCAGGAAGCAACATAACTCGCCAGTACCTTCCATGGCGGTGAGAGGCTGAGTGAGAGCAGACTTCAGCTTGCTCTCAAGACCCAGTCACCGGCACCTCACCAAGCTTCATCCGCAGCTCCTAAGCAACCCCCAAATGCCCCCCAGCTCCCGGGTCTTCAGTTTCACGTGTCCCGAGCCCAGTGCTGAGGGCAACAGGTCAAGATGCCGACTCCAGACCCGCCACCTGCTCTGAGCGCGAGGCTTTGGAGTCACTGCCACAGAGATTTCACGGGACGTGGGGAAGGCTTTCACCCTGAGATTCTGGCAACCAGACTGAATTTCTGGGGCTGAGAGCAAGCCCCTCTTATGGCATTTTCCAGCTAGGCTGTGCTGGGCAGAACACTACTCTGGGGCCCAGAGCGGAGCACGGGACACAGGGAGTTGCTGGCTTGAGGACAGAGGGGCTCCCGCACAATCCCCCCGAGAGCCAGTGCTGGCCGTGAAGGCGCCAGGCAGGGCTCCTTCTCTCTGTGGCTCCCCTGCACACTCCGCGTGACGGGCAGCAACGTGCTCTGTCCGCCCACACATTCCACAATCCTGCCCTCGAAGACCCGAGTCTCCCCAGACAGGGCAGGTATTGGGGAGCTGATTTCTGGCGTATTTGCTGATTTCAGGGTAGGGGCCCTTAGTCGAGTCAAAGCAGGAAAGTGGAAGGACTTTCTCTTTAGCGCGAGAGCCTGGGCCCAGTGCTGCTGGCCGGCCTGGCCGTGGATGTCCTGAATCCCGGGGGCTTACCCGAATCCTCCTGCGCTGGCGGCCGCAGTACCCTCTCCGAACACTTTGCCTCCCGTCGAGCCCAGAGGGCTTGTAAAGGCCGGGGCTGAACCGAATGCTGGCACCCCTCCAAACCCAGGGGATCCCCCAAAAGTAGGAGGGCTGCCAAACACTGGAGCAGCACCGAAGCCACCTGAGCAAAACAGAGGCAAACAAACGGGGAGAAAGAAAGGACACACAGAGAGGACAGTGAGCAGCAGACATGAAATCAAAAAAGAAAAAAAAAAAAGGGAAAATATGTTAGAAATTCAAATGCAAAGAACTGTAACAAAGGGTTATACCTCTTCTGTTAGCAAAATAATAATTAAAACAAACCAGAACAAGACACCAAATCGCCCCCACCCACCATGACTGACCGAGGGCCTGGGGTCCACGCTGGAGAGCTCCGTGGTGCAGGGCACCCAGCAGACCTTTGTCTTTGAGATCCCCAGTCCCTCCCAGGAGCAAGTGGGGCTTGTCAGCTCCATGGCTGGCAAAATCAGATGCCCCCCCCAGGAACCAAGCTGGCGGTTCAGGTCCCTTCCCAGCCCCCCGCACCACTTCAGAGCCCCATGGAGAAGGCATTCTCGAGGCTCCGATCCCGCCTCCTGTTTCTCACAACACAGGCATAGCTTCGAGCCTGGTGGACACCCACATTATAAAATTAGAGGTTCAAACTCCCCTCTGGGGGAGAATCTGTGAACTGGGCTACAGTGGAGCTGGCAAGAGATGCAGGTTCTGGCGGGCAGCCAGCGCTTTTTATTTATTTAAAGCCCTGGCTCTCCCATCTTTCGCCGGTCTCTCTCCCTCTGCACGGGAGGATTTTTGAGAGATGCATTCTCTCTGCAGTCAGGAAGAGCTCCTCAAGAAGAAAGCACACAAACTTCTCCTCTGGAGGAAGGCTGCTGTGTAAGCGTGATGCAGTATCTGTGGCGAGGAGTCCAAGGCACCCCTGCAGGGCCCACGCATGCAGCTGGTGGATACACGTGCGGCGGCAGCAGGGGCAGGTGTGCCAGCTGCCCAGGGGGTAGGGCACTCGCCCCTGGGCACTTCCTCTGCTTCTGCTGGGGGTCCTGAGACCCAGGGCCTGCTCAACTCACCCTCAGCTCTGAGCAGAGACACTGCACGAGCGTGGGGCAGAATGGAAGAGCGGTGCCGGAAGTGGGCCTGAAGATGTGTATTTCTGACAGCAAATACGAGTGCTCTCAGCTGAGTGATCTATTTCCCGACTCAACCCGCTTGTCCGCCATCGCCAGTGGTCACAGAGCTCAGAAGTCACTTTCCACCAGGGCACGTGTTTGTGCTAACATTCTGGGTTTTAAAACCTTGAGTGAAATTCCAAGCCGTGATAACGGAGACTGCTGGGTTGCAAATCTAACAGGCGGAAAAAAAGTGCTAAAACTCTCGCGGTGAATTATTGAAGATGGTCACTGATCTCGTTACACGCTCTTCCTAGACACACAGGCCTGTATCTAGTGCTTCGGGCTTCTTGGTGGAAGGTGAGTGAAAACTGAGAAGTCACAATGACAAAAAGTCAAGTGGACTGGGGAGGCAGTCACACGCACACATGCGCGTGCCCCCACGATAGGGCACAGCCCAGACAGGCAGGCTGTGGATGTGAGGCGGGGTCTGACTTTATTAGGTGCCCCATTTTCACGATTTTCTCCTTCAAGAGAAACAGAAGTGTACTGGCAGTCAACGCTAACAGCGTCCGCCCCCCGAGGACACGTGCCGGGTTTGGTGCTAGGTGCTGTGAACAGGTTGCTTTACTCTCCCCAGTAACCCGGGGTCCCTGGCGTCAGCCTCCCTGCTGCCTCCCTCCACCCCACAAGACCCAACAGCTCCCATCATGGAGCAGCAGGGTGAACCCACAGGACAGGGCAACAAGATCATCTCCAGGGGCCCCATCTTCTGTCCTCTTCTCAAATCTCCAGCGGCAGCATTATTTTCTAAAGCAGAGTGGGTGACACAGACAGGGCTTTTCAAAGACTCATCCAAACCATCAGCCTAAAAATCTCTCTCAAAGCAAAAAGGGGTCATCCTGATGGCTGGGTGCCTGGCCACCAGGCAGGAAGGCGACCTTCACCCAAAGCGCCAGCCTCCTGCTCTCCAGGGGAGGGCCTTGCGAGGACGGAGGCGTCCTGAGCATGGTGCGCAGTCCCAGAAGTGCCCGGGACAGCAGCCATCCCTCCGCCTGCACCCTGGCCTCTGGCTGCATAATGCACGCCAGGGGCTTGAAAGGAAGCTGTATGGGTTAGCACTTCCAACCTAGGTGGCCTCATGGGGCAAGTAATCAAATGGGAAAAATATTCTGGAGTGTGGGAGGATATATTTTCTCTATGATTAAAAAAATGCAAGGGTCAGAGTCTCCAGTTAATTGGGTATGAGCCCGGGATAAGGAACAACACATAAGAAATACACGAGTCAAACAATCACATTCCTTAAATAAAGTCTCGATGACACAAACTAACGCTTCCGAGTTGCGTACTATCTGCCATGATGGCCAGGGCAGATACCCTCGCGGCCCCCCAACCTGAACCGTCACCTGGCGAGCGGTGGGTGGAAGGGGGCAGCGACGTCCCGCCTGGATTGAGCACTGAGACCAGCAACCAAAGACCAGCCCCACATGCAGGCCTGAGGGGCGGTGCCCGGCATCCGCAAACCACAGCCATTTAGGGTCTTGAGGTGGGTTTCACAGCTCACCTGGGGCGGTGCTGAGCAGTCACCTCTGCAGTTGGGGCTCAGGTAGGGTCCTTCTGGGACTCGCATCGATTTCAAGCCTCTCCCACACAGGAGGGAGAAGTCTCCTGCCTACTCACCCACCGGGGGCTGCTTTCTCAGCAAGCACCCTTCCCCTCTGGCCCTGCCGCAAATCTCTCCAGACACTCTTCCGCTCAGCGGGGCAGAAGCAGACCCAGCACAGACACAGACGCAAGCGAGGAGGGGTCGAATATTAGAAAGGAAGTATGTTCTTTAACTCCTCCAGCTTAAGTGTGAGCGGCTGCCCACAGCGACCCCGACGGGCTGAGACGGGGAGGACGCTGGGGAAGGACGCTCCGCCTCCACGAGGGGGCTGCGCCCACGACGTCTGATGATGTGGATGAGGGAAAACCAGTTTCCGGCAGAGGCCCTGTCTGAGAGGCTCTGGTACGTCTCACTGTCCAAGCCAAAGCGTGCGTGTGTGCGCGTGTGCTCACATGTATGTGCGTGTGTGTGCACACCTGGTGACGGAAGGGCATCCTGCCCAGGGCAGGTTTCCCAGAGCCGCCAGAATAGGCCCTTGCCCCCTGAGACCCTGAAGTGGAATGAGTGGGTTAGAAAACGGATGAATAAAACTTAGGGTTCAACACGAAAAGCGTTCTGAGTCTTCACTCAGAAGTTGGGGAGTGTTTTGCGACTGGAAATACGCGTTAAGGGTTTGCCTCGTTCATAACAATTAAGGTGCAGGGAAACTGCACGGCGCAGCGTCTACGGCCTACGGCGACATTAAGCAAGGACTGGCTGTATTCGACTGTGGAAGCTGACTGAGCTGCATGCTTGTGTGAACATATGACAGTAACATGTTGATGCATGTACACTCAATGAAAGGTAAAACAAAGTGATGATTTGGGAACGAGGTCAAGGGGACAGGCACGAGAGGTAAAGAGTGCGCCTTCCTGGCCCAGCACAGACGAGGGGTGCCCAGGCCAGCCTGACTCGGGAGCTTTCTGCTTAGGACCTGGCGGTCACTGTCTCACATGCTCCCTTGGCTGTTCTGCCTGTGCTAAATAATCACAGCGTTTTCTTTCCTAAGAAGACACGAAGTTCTAGTGTAAAAACCATGTTTCTGGAAACCCAGAGCAGCACTGGGAACAGAGAGGCTCAATAAACACACAAGTAAATGGGGGCGGCACCTCAACCACACTCCAATACTATGTCTCCAGAACCCCCGGGAGCCCCCCAGGCCTTGAGGTGCACGCAGGTGCACGTGCAGACAAGCAGCGCCGTCAGCACAGCAGTACCTGTCTTGTTGGGAGTGGAAAACCCAAAACCTTGGGACGCCACACTCCCTCCTCCAGAGCTGAAGGTGCCGGCAGGCTTCTGCTCGCCAAAGGATGAGCTGGCAAATCCACCGAACGTCTTGGCCCCACTGTTTCCGAACAGGTTGGAGGTATCTGAAGGGAAGAAGAACGTGTGTGAGGAGGCTGGCTTTCTCCCCCTCTTAGAACAGCGGGGGGAGAAGCCCAGCATGGTGTCTGGGAGGAGGGGTGACAGGAGTCTAGGACCCAGTGGAGCCAAGCTGTAGAAAAATGCACGTTGTCTGACTCCCATGCCTCTTGTTGTCAAGTTTTTAGTCATTTTGGCACCAAGACTGAGGCTTTCCTGGCAAAATACGCCAGGCACAGAAGAAAGGCAGCCACAGGCCCCAAGGGGGGCTCCTCTGCAAACACACCTCTGCCTCCCTCAGGTACCGGGCCCATCAGCCATGAGAGGGCCAGGCCAGGACTGCCGCCTCATCCCAGATGGTCCCCGGCTCCTCACGAGTAGCCACTTCATGCTTTGTCTCACTAGAGAAAAGCGAGCAGATCCCAACCTAGTGAGAGCTTCTGGCGCTCTGCTCGCGTGGCCAGGCCGGGCGTGCCTGCTGTGCCTCGCCTGCTCCAAGGGCAGAGGAGAACCAGGGAGGACGCAGCTCCTGCCCCTCACCTGTCGGGAGCTGGCAGGTCTGAGAAACGTAAGCCCCGCAAGGTCTGCAGTGATTTCATCTTTCTAAGAGGCTCAATGAAGCCCCTGACCTCCAGATGCTCACCTAAGCGGGTCACTCCCTCAATTTCACACTCAATCCCCTGTAAGAACTAAAGGAAAAAAAGGAGACCAGTAAGACCCAAGTTCGGCAAAACAGTTCTTTTTTTAAAATTTCTTTATTTATGCATACAAGAACTGAGGTACAGGCCAGTGGTGTGGGGAGTGAGGATTCACCAGAGACAGAGTAGGGAACAGAATAAGCAGACAGACTGAAAGCACTGCTGAGGGGAGCAGCGGGCATAACAGGAGAGGTCTGCCCACCATGTGGGGATCTCCCCGGCTGGCCAGGATTGAACCCGTGCTGCAGAGGCTGCGGACAGCTTCAGGGAGCTGTGCTCGACCCTCTGATGACGTGAATGAGGGAAAACCAGGTCCTGGCAGAGGCCCTGTCTGAGGGGAGGCCCTGGGAGAAACGTTTTTGTTGTTACAAGAAGCCCGCCAGGCAGCGTGTGAATAACCAGAGCACACCAGGGTGACACAGCGGTGCACACGTCAGAGACCACTACTGAACCTCTCTGTGGGGAGGAGGCGGAGGGGGCCTGGATGGGCGCTACGCTGAAATGGTTTGCACCCACCAGAGGCAGGAAGGAGCTATCCTGAAATGGGACGACACCCAAAGACACAGGCATAAGTAGGAGGCTGAAATGGGGGGCCCTGGCTGGGTGGCGGGAGCCGACCATGTCCCGAGTGCACACGTGCCTGGGTGCACGGCGAGGGCGACGAGGAGGAGGGGGGGGGGGGGACTGGCTCCCAGCGCCCTGGAGAGGCGGCCCCTCCCGAGGGCTCTCTTAGCTGCTGCCAACCGCCCAGGCTGGGCCTCACGGCATCGGTGTTTCCAGGCGCAGCAATCCAGGAAGCGAGAAGCTTTATCTCAGCACAAGATCCACTCACATTTCTAGGCACCGGCCACCTGAGACCAGAGGCCAGTTGGGGAGCTTGGCGCTGACAGTGGGGTGGTCAACATGGAGGGTGCCGCCTGCCGGCTCACCCCAGGGGAGCACACGACTTGGGGAGCGGTCTGAGCTTCCCCCAGGGAGTGAGCTGGAGGTTACGTCTGATTTCTTCAATAGCAAGACACTGGACCCTGGAGATGGAAAACACTTCTCAGCCACTCCTTTCACTTGGAACTGCAAGGAGAGAGAACTGCGATTTTTTCCAGAGTGCTCACAATGCAACATTCTAGGTAGCAAACACGCTCAAGTGCAAGAGCAGGGCCACAACTCCTGGAGAAATTCGAAATGCAGGTGAAACGCCTTCCTGGGACAGTGCTGGGAGATGCAGACTCCTGAGGAACAGAGGACGTCCAGAGGCCTTTGGGCTTTTTACTCCTCACTCTCGAAGGCTCTTGCTCACGGCAGGGAGCAAGCCTGGCTCTGCACTGGCCTGGCCCAGAGCACCAGCAAATGGGGGTGCTGGGCAGGTGCTGACCCTCACGTGAACAGGCAGGCGCTGCCAAGGCGGGGCAGGGCCATGGATGCAGACCCTCTGGCCTCAGAAACAGCCCTCTCCTTCCCTTTCTTTGCTCTTCCTCTTGCCATCCCCTGGCCTGTTCAGGATCACAACCCAGAACAGGTCTGAGGAGAAAACCCAATCCTCTTTGCAAAGATCACAGTGGGAAGCCGCTCTGGGTGTCATCTCAGTCCCTGGCAGTCACAAAGGGAGCTCGGCACACTGAGTTGTTGCCACGAAACCAAGTGGCAGAAACCGTGTCTCCTCTCCACTTCACGGTCATGAATGACTCTCGATCTCTCTCCTGATGGCTGTGAAACAACAGACTGCAGCTCTTGAAAACACAGTAGATAAGCGGGCATCTTGGTTGTTGGGGTGACGTTTCACTGTAGAAGATGCCTCTTTATTGGGAGAGTCGTCTCTGCAGAGTTGCTGTTGACCTCCACTCTGGGGTGACGAGGACAGGTGAGCCTGGCCCCCGCCCTGGGTTTCTACTCTACTAGCACCGCAGGGGCACCGTCTGTCTTTGCCTTGGCAACAGCACTGGGGTAACCCAGCATCACGGCCTGTACCACGTCACAGTAAGTTATGCGGGGTCTAAGTACTCCTGTGAGCAGGGCCTGCTGGCCTGCAGGGTCAGACTCACTAACAGGAGGTCTGCCCAGCCAAGGAGGGTTTCAAGGAGCTCCTGTCCAGGACGCTTTCCTAAAGAACAGCCACAGAATAAATGGAGCCAACACATCCGCACCGAGTGGCTTTGTCATCGTCACACAGATAAGGCTTTCAGGTCCCTGAACAGAGATTGTGCTCATATCGGTTGTTCTAACCAGAGTCCACAGGACAAGGCTCCAGGAGGCAGGCAGTCAGTCCCTTACAGGTGGTAGCTCGAGGTGCTGGATTTGAGAGGACCCCAGGGCTAAGAGTGCATGCTGGCAGAGTCTGGGAAGTAGAGGTGAAGCATTTACAAGGCGTGAGCTTCTGGACCCAGGACACACCGAGTCCAAGCAGGAGTGTGCTCTGCTCGTCTTTCTTAGTCACTGTCAAGTTCCGATTACTCTTCAGGCTGAGGGCGGCTTGAGGACCAGGCAGCCTGAGGCCTAATTGTCACAAAGGGAGCTGCTGGTTGCTCAGTCTGTGTTCAGAAATCCCTCTGCAAGGGAGCATGCGTGATGACACGTCTGAAGAGGTTACTCTGCAAGGCCAGGAGGCTTGAAGGAGGCAATGTGGTTGGGCTGAGCTCAGAAACATGCCAGGTTTAAACCCCAGCTGCACCACTTCATGTCTGGGTGACCTCTGCAAGTCTCCACATTTCTCTGTTTCCCTAATGGTAAAATGGTGCCACTGTAAGAAGTGACCAACTCACAGCCACTGTGCAGCTGGCACAGAGCAGGTGCTCAGCAGAGGTCTGTTCCTTTCTGCTTGATGTCAAGTGAAGGGACAGAAGGGACCGAACACACAGGCCGCAGGAATACACAGGGAGAGCAGGCTGTGGGCCCATGTGACCCTTCGGCCAGGCTGCATATCCACCTCAAAGAAAGAGCAGTGTGAGCCCTGGCACTGAGAGCGGGAGAAGTGAGGGTGTGCGGGCCAGCGAGCAACTGGCTGAGGAAGAGAGTGTATGCTGGGGGAACTGAGGCAAAGTCAGAAAAATGGGGCCAGCTCATGGAAAGCCTGAATTCCAGCCTAACGAGTGGGTGTGGGCTTCACTGACAGCCAGCAGCAGCTGCCATAGGGCTCTGACAGGGAAAACCCTTGATGTGGTGCGGATCTCCAGGCCACAGCAGAGGACAGCAGCAGGGGCGGGGGTCTGGTTACTACGACAGAGGGGAGCACACAGGCCGGGACGAAGAGGGAAGAGAAATGCAGCAGGAAGGAACCAAGAGGCTGGAGAGAGGCAGGAGCGTGGTCCACGCAGATGGCATGCCATGCTCCAAAGCATAGCATGCCGCGGCCACCCAGGAGAGAGGCTGTCCCCAGGGGTTCTGGGAAAGCTCCATGACAGGAACACAACCTTCCTGAGGGCTTCCAGCCCCTCCTCTCCACTGTTCTTTCCTCGTATCCTGCACTTGGTTCTGCGGCTACAAAGGCTCCCGTCCCTTCCACTATCAAATCATACATTTAGATTTTAAAAACAAAATTCAGTCTCTCCTGTACCCTTTCAAATGCACTTGCCTTAGGCATAAAAGTAAATTGCTAGTTTATAGTGGCCAACACTAGGAGCTTAAGACCAACAAGTCAGGGCTAGGGTTAGGGTTAGAAACTGAAGGATCAGTGGCAATGGTGAGCCAGAAAACAAAAGATGCCGGCGTTGGGCGGGGGGCGGGGGGGTGTCCTCATTTGTAGTGCTGTCCAATTTCCCTGGTGTGAAGACTCCCACCACAGGGCCTCCCCTGGTGGCGCAGCGGTTGAGTGCTGGGTTGCGAGGCTGCCCGTAGGCTCTGCAGCGCCGGTTCATTCCCCGGTCGCTGGTGAGGGTCCCACCAAAAAAAAAAAAAGACTCCCATCACACAGCTGAGTCATGCTCCCCAAGACAGTGTCACAGAGCAAGGAGCCAGGGTGAGGTGTGAGCCCGTTCTCGCAAGCTGATGTGAACCAGCTGCGGCCCACTGTCGAGAGAAGGCAACTCTTTGAGAGCTGAGCGCCATGGCTTTAGAGATCAATCAGCCAGGAAGAGTGAAAGTTGGAGAGGATATGAGACGCCTGCGTAACACAATCTGAGACGACAACCTTGCTGAGGATAAGCCCACATTCCTAATGAGGAATTGTCAGGTGCCTATTCTGTGCCAGATGCTGTGTTTGGTGTGTGTGATCCAGCTGAGTTCCAGACCTGCCACTTTCTGACTTGACACCAAATAAATAACCAACCAAGTCACTTGGGTGTGCTTCCTCACTGCAAACTGGGAGTGCCACACAGGGGGCACATTTTCAAAGCGTATTCATGTTTTCAAAGTATTCTGGAGCCCAGAAATTCAGTAAAAAAGATGGAGAAATCACCAGGTGTGCTTCCCTGGTTCTTAATCTCTGCTTCAGCGTAAGCCTATTTTTATCTGTTTCACATAGCAGGATTCTGCGTAAGAGTTCATCTGCAAAACCAGTTTTGGAAAATTACTAGACTCAATTTTTAAGAACCCTTCGTTCTAGGATTCTAAATTCCTCCTTACAGACAGAAAGCTCAAGAACAAAAATTTGTGATTATGCAATTTCACAAGTCAAAAGGTATGACTGTAGTCTTTCCTTATATATCCCTGGACAGATAGTAACATCAAAATAACTGATTTGCGAATCCAGGAGACTAGGGATAGTTTTGCTTTTAACTCCTTGAGTCTCAATATTGCGGGCATGACTGTCAGGTCTGAAGAACGCTAGCTCTGGATTCATGGAGCCCAGGCAGCACAACAAAGAGAAGCTTCCGGTAGAGCAAATGAAGGGAGAGGCTAAGACGGGGATGACAGGCTCCCAACTTCCCACCTTGGCCTCCAGCAGCAGCAGGGTATTTTTTTTTTTTAAGATTTCAACAAACAAATTTCTTTCATTTCCAACCATGAATACACAGATCAACAAAGAATTTTCAAAATTAGTCGAAGAAGAAAGTGCCAGCAGAGACGGCTTTTGATGAAAATTAGACAAAAATGTAGATGAGAAATACCGAAGGCTTCAACTTTCGGGTGTCATTTCGCCACAGCCACTGTAATTTTAAAGCAAAGTCGAAGACAGTACTATGCCAACGAAAATCCAGATGCTGCTTCTCCAAGCAACACCCCCCCACCCCCAACGCCTGTCTGCGGCTCCCATTTATGCCTGTCTGCCCGCATTCATTTCAGTGCTGAGAAACAGAGCGGGAGCGTGCTGATACACAGATCCTCTTCCTGCAGCGCCCATGTCTCTTCACGATTATATAGGGCTTCTCATTAAAAAAATCCAAAAATAAACAGAATTGAAATAGACCTCACCGCTTTGGGGTAGACATTTCAAATGGGCCTTCTTAGGTCTTTTCTTTCTGCCGCCGTCACTGAAGGCTTATGAACACAAGGATGGTGGGCGTGGCATTAGGGAACCGAGGGACCGGGAAGACTCCTCAACTTACTTGGGGTGGCGGTCGATCCGAAGCCCCCGCTGGCCGAGCTGAATGGGTTTTTGTTGGCAGCATCCTGACTGGGTTTCCCTCCAAGGCCGCTGAAGAAACCGCCCCCTCTCCCAGTGTTTCCAGATCCAAACACGCTCCCGCTGGAGGACGACGACTGCTGCAAAACAAAGGGGCAGGAAGCGAGACAGGCTGAGAGGTCATGGAAAAGGCAGGCCACGCCCGGGGGGAAGGAGGCCCTCGCTGCTGGTATGAATGGAAAAAGCAAGAGAACTCTGATCAGCTCTGGTACGGATGCCCTAGCAACTACACGACAAGCTGGACTCTGTGCAGGGGCTTCCTACAGACCAGAGGCTCTCAGGCTCGTCCACGCTGACCTCTGGCGGTGGGAGGGTCACACGTGTGCACGCCTGTTCCCCACGGTCTCTGAACAACATGACCCAGGGGCAGGAAAACCATCCCTTTAGCGCCCCCCCCCCCAAATGGAAAAGCTTGAAGATATTTCTATGCTAGGGCCTCCCCGTTGGCACAGCGGGTTGAGCGCCGCACTGTGAAGCTATCCGCAGCCTCTGCAGTGCGGGTTCGATTCCTGGCCAGCCAAGGAGAATCCCACATAGCGCGAAGACCTCTCCTGTTGCGCCCGCTGCTCCCCTCAGCAGTGTTATTTCTGTTGTCTGCCTGTCCTGCTCCCCGCTCTGTCTCTGGTGAATCCTCTCACCCTCCCGCGCCTCTGGCCTGTACCCCAGCTCTTGTATAAAAATAAATAAATCTTTAAAAAAAAAAAGATATTTCTATGCTATTATTAGGCACCACTTGTGCTGATTCCTCTAGTATCTGGCTGAAGTCATCAGCACCGACAATCAGTGATCCCCGCATCTTGTCTTCCAGCGTGTGCACTTTCACTTCATCCTGACTTTCCCAGCAGCACAGAAACAAGCTTCAATTAGCTCCATTGTCGAGATGATGACCACAGCTGAGTTCTGGCCAAGTCTGCAAATCTTGTGCTCACAGGCTGCTGTGACGTGGGGGTGCGCTGACTCAGCTGGATCAGGCAGCACACACTGTCTGTTGGGACGCCAATGCCTTTGGGAGTACCATGCCAGTCCCCAGGGGTGGCCAACATTAGGTCAGTGCGCTATCTCCCTGCTGTCATGCAGGATAAAGGGGGCTTTTAGAAATGGGTTGTTGTGCACAGATCCCTCTTCTGTAAAATGGGGATAATAAACAACCCACCTCAAGTGGTGAGTGAATTAGAAGAGCTAAGGACCGTGCTGCACTTTACAACAGTGTCTGAAACGTGCCCACGTATGGCTGCAGGTCAGCAATCTTAACAGCAACAACAGGGAGGACCAATGATTTCTCTCTTTCCAGGGACAAGGCCCTTCTCTAAGCACTTTAAAGAAACCATGTAATCCCCACATCCTGAAACACCCCCAGTGTGTGCCTGCTCTGAAGGTGCACAGCCCCCGTCTGAGCCCCCAGCCTTCTGCCGGGGCCGCGTGTGTCCCTGATGCCGCTTCCACGGCAATGGAGGTGTGGCAGCGGCCGAAGAGTGTTCACTGCAGCGGCGCGGAGCGTCTGATGTATGTGCATATACAACCTGGGGCCAGGCCGTGGCCCAGGTGCGAGAGGCCGTGGTGGGAAAGACTGGCAGAGACGGCCCTTGTGGAGTCAACACAAGACTCACTCAGGAAACAGACGCTCATAAAGTTAAAAAAAAAATGAAATGGCAGTCTACCATTTTACTCCTGTTTACCAGTCCTCCAAGGCCCCCACGACTTGCCCTGTCCATCCCTGGCATCATCTTCTGTCGCCCTCCCCTTTGCTTGGTACAGTGATACCGGCCTTTGTGCCATGAACACAACAAACAAGTTTTACTCAAGGGCGACAGACTTAATGAATCTGCCAGTCACTAGATCTTTCCCCTTTATTTTTCCTTAAACTTCTTTAAAAACACTAGCACCCAATAACTATAACCATTGGAGTCCAATCCAATCATAAAAGCATGGGCTCTGACAACCCGCAGGTCCCTCTGCAGGGAAGGCGGACAGGACCACTGAGGCAGGCGTCCATTGTGGGCCGCCGTGTGGCTGACGTCCCTGCCTCAGGCTGAGACACAGAGACTGCCAATATTTGGACGTTTTTGTTCAACATAAAACGGCAATTTCAGAGGGTTCAACCTAATTTAAAGAATGTGCCCTGATAAAGAACAGACACCTATGGAACGAAGACAACAGGTGACAAGCACACGTCGCTGAACTGTCACCCTCAGGAAAGGGTGAGGACCTCAGTCATTAAAATTGCAATTGTAAGTCTTTAAAACTTCAAGTTATGGAAAAATTGAAAAGTGCCAAGGTATTACACGGAAGAGTAGTATGAATTGCCACCCCCCAGCTTTAACAACGAACTCACAGTCAACTGAGTTTTATCTGTGCCTCATTTACTCCTCCTCATCTTTATTGTATAAGCAAAAACACCTTATTACTTGAACAACTGATTTTCCAGTATGAATCTCTAAAACATAAACCATCACAATACCACTACCATGTCTAAAAAACTAAACAGTAATTTTTTCTTATCATTAAATAGAGTAACTGCTCAAGATCCAGCCTTATAATTTGCCCCCCAAATCAGTTTCATCAAGACTCCAGATATTTCCCAGAAGGTAACAGCGGCCAGAGGAACAGTGCACTTGGAAGCTGTTCCAGGAGAATGGAGCCAGCAACCAGGCCATCGGAAACACTGCAGGACAAGTCACCTGCTTCTTCAACAGCTGAATAATGAGGGAAATAGAGAGACAGGGCAGGGAGATGACAGACAGGTAAGGCCTATCAACCAGTCTGCATGTGTGAACCGGACTTGACCCCAGTACTAACAAAGTCAAGCAGAGACTCAGCCTGGGCCCTGCAGATCTGTTCTCTCCCTCCAGGCCTACAGCCTCTCCTGTAACCAGACCCCCCAGATCCTCAGGCTGGGAAGCAGCCCAGCCCCAGCCCCTGTGTTGACTGGAGCTGCGTGTCACGTGTCTGGTTGGCTCGGCCCTGGAAAAGCGTTTCCAGTCTCGCCAAGCTTGATTTTAGGCCTTTTCCACTGACACATCTTCAAGTACACTGTTCTGCATGCAGCATTCACTGTTATAATTTCTCTAATCGTTTTAAACTTCTGACATTAGATTTAAATTTCAGAAACAGATTCAAGACTACTTTTTAAAATTTTTTTTTCATTTTCTACTGAGATTCTTTATTCACCTATTATTTCACTCTTCTACAAATCCTTGAGCACAGCAGTCATTTTAAAGTCTCTGCCTGTTGGTTTCAATATCTGGATCACCTATCGGTTGTTTTCTGCTGATTTCCAAAATATGATTAAGGTAGCTCCCTTTTATTTTGGCTTCTTCCTAGGTTTCATGATTTTTTTTCCAACTTTCTATATAGAACAGCGTGGCGTGTTGTCTGAAGACTAAGGTTCTTCCTACAAAGAGGCCGCTCTTTAGCTCTATGCTGAAGTGAGAGGGCAATTATTCAGATTTCACTAAGCACAGAGCTGTGTTGAGAGTGGACGCACCTGGCTAGCCCAGCACCATCTCTGCTTGGGGTTAGGTGAGCGTCTGACCCGTGCTTCAGGCTGGGCTCAGCATCCCTTTGCAGGCACAGGAGGTGAGACTGCGCAGCGTTTTCTGCTCTTTGGTTCTGCCTTCACCTCCTCTCTCTCAGTCCACTGTGCATACGGACCGAGTTTTGTTTACCTGGTCACCTGCTGATGGTCACCTGGGTTGTTTCCCCCTTTTGGTCACTTTGGATAATGCCACAGTGAAGCTGGTGAACAAGAGCAGGTCCAGGTCCTTGCACGCAGTCCCTCAGGGAGTGCACCTACAGGGGGCGGCCTGGGTCGCCTGATAATCCCACGTGTAGCTTTCTGAGCAACCACCAAACTTTCCCGTAGCATTTTAGGTTCAAACCAGCACTGAAGAGGGTTCTGATTTTTCCAAATCCTTGTCAATACTTCTTATTCTTTTTGGTATTTAGATGACAGTATCTTGCACGGGGCAGCACCGCATTATGGCTGTCACTTCCTTTCTCCTGATGTTCTATGCCGATAACCTTCCTTCCATGTGCTTCTTGGTCATCTGAACTTGTTTGCTCCCATTATTGCCAACAGCTTCTTCTGGCGTCTTCTCTGGCCAGTCAATTTTCTCAATCTTGAGCAAGGCCTCTAGCCCAGACCCAACATTTCCCCCAGATGCTAATGTGCCATCACAGTCACCTCTGAGCGGCTCCCCCACTGGAGTTAATACTGCAGGCTTCCCGCCACTCTGACAGTCCCACTGTGACACTGCGACAGATTTATTTTCCAAATATGGACACAGCAATATTCTAGACGTACATGCTCTTTTAGAGCAAAAGGTGGCCCCTATTCCCCTCCCCTTGGCCCCGGGGGGCAGTTTGCCTTGAACAAGAGGATGCAGCATAAACAATGCTCTGGGAGTCGTGAGGATAGATCATAACATAGCCACTGTTTGGTTCCCACGCTTTTCTGGAACATTCCTGCTTGGAATCCAGCCACCACGTTGCGAGGAAGCCCAGGCCACAAACCACATGTAGGTGTTTTAGCCAACAGTGCCAGTGAAGGTCTCAGCCATCATCAGACACATGAGCAAGCCTCTAGCTTTCCACTCTTCCAGCTTTGACACTCATCACCACTCAGTCTCCACTGTGCCAGTAGGAGTTTATGGCCTACGAAATCCATACCTCATAAATAAGTAGCTGCAATGTATAAACGTATTCACAGCGATACACATACACATGCTACTAGGTTTGGGGGTAATTTGTCACACAGTACCACCTAATACTGACACCCAAGTGTGATTTTTTACTACAAGTTTCCCTGGGTATTAGAAGTAGAAATATTTGGTATGATTTGGTTATTCTGGGATCTGGGAATGCTCAAAAATTTTTCCATAAAAATTACTAATAGTGTTTTCAGACATTAAAAAAAAAAGTGACCTAGTTTCCAGTCGCTCCACTACCGCACCAATCCTGATACCTTGTTGTCCTTTCCATTTTAGCCATTTCGGTGGTGGTGGTAGGGGGGGAGCATTGTCTTTTTCCTTCATTTGTATGGCTTATATATTCTGAACACAATTACTCCGGTTGGTAGTTCAGGTAACCTTCCCTATTTCATGGCTTGTTTTACCCCAAAATTAAGCCATAATTTTAGTGAGATCAAATTTTTCTTCTGCTTTAAGAATAATTTTTACAATTTCCTTCAGGTCTCTGAGATATTTTCTCAGTACTTGTTCAGCTGAAAAATATCTTGATTTCACTTCATTTCTTTTTTTTTTTTTTTTAAAGATTTATTTATTTTCATACAAGAGCTGGGGTACAGGCCAGAGGAAGGGTGAGAGGATTCACCAGAGACAGAGTGGGGAGCAGGACAGGCAGAGAGACGGAAGACACTGCTGAGGGGAGCAGTGGGAGCGACAGGAGAGGTCTGCCTCGCCATGTGGGAATCTCCCTGGCTGGCCGGGAATCGAACCCGTGCTGCAGAGGCTGCAGACAGCTTACCAACACTGTGCTCAACCTGCTGTGCCACCAGGGAGGCCCTCACTTCATTCTTCAGATATATTTTTCACTGGGTGTACAAATTCATAGGCAGAGAGACTGTCTTTCGTCGTCTCTACTGAAAAGTCAGCTGTCAGTCCAACGACTGCGCCTTTGAAGGTGTAACCTGTTTTTTTCCCCTGGATGGATGTTTTTAATGTCTCATAATCCTCTGTAGGTCTGCAGTGTCACTATGGGAGGTCTTGGACTCAATCCTTTTCACACATGCTGCCACCTGCCACGCTGGAGTTTGATCCATAGGTTGCTGTTTTCAGAAAATTCTGTGTTTTCTCGTCACGGTGTCACAGTCACGGTGTCACACACATTCTTTTCTCTCAACATTCTCACTCTCCCTCCCCTTCTTCTGATTAAATGCACGTAGGTACTCCCTTTGAAGGTGTTTGCTCCTTTGTATTTCCTTGGTTCCCCACCGTGCATCCCAGGGACAATGGTCTGGCCTACCTTCCTGTTCAAGGGCCTAGTCCCTGGGCCAAGTCAAGTCTGTCTGTTTCTGCAAATAAAGCTTTAATGGAAGGGAGCCGTGCTCATTCATTGATGTATTGTCTACGGTTGCTTCTGTGCCACAGTTGAGTAGCTGTGCAGAAACGAAAATATTTACTCTCTGGCCTACATTCTAGGACATTACTGTTCTTTTCAGCTGGGTCTAATTGGATGAATTTTAATTTGTAATTAACATGTATTTCCTGAAGTCCTATTTGATTCTTTTTCAAAGCTGTGAACTTCTTTTTTTTGTGTGTGGGTGTGGGACCCTCGCCGGCAGCTGGGGAATGAACTGGCGCTGCAGGGGCTGCAGGCAGCCTCGCAGCCCAGCACTCAACCGCTGCACCACCAGGGGAAGCCCAAAGCTGTGAACTTATAGTTTCTTATTTTTTAATGGTATTTTGGTATTTGTCTTTTATTTCCTTTAAAGATGTCAAACAGCTTGTCGTGGAGGCTAGGAAGCCTCTACACATGTTCGCAGCTGCCCATTGCCTTGCATCCCCAGCGCCTTGTTGCCCTCGGGCCTAACTGAGGTGTCGGGACACGGTCCGTGGGCAGGAATTGGGGGTGAGTCACTCCTCACTGGGGTTAGACTCCCAGTTTGTGTGCATCCCTCTGCTCTTGTGGTTATTAAACAGAAAATTCAAACTCTCTCAGATCAGTAAATGCTCTCAGGGCAAGCCTGGCTTCTGCTCCAAGTCCTTCTACAGGCTCTCACTTTCCCGTAAACCTGCCTTGGTGAAATACCTCCTTAGCTTAGCAATGCTTCAAAATACAGGTTTTTTCCCGCCTAGTATTTTTTGTTGTTTTCTGTGGGAAACTTGGTTTGAATGACCTGATCTGTCATTACCAGACACTGGAATTGGAAATGTCATTTCTCTCTCAAGGATCATGGGCTATGCAGAGCCCATCTTCAAAGGAAAAGGAAAATCTACTGAAAATGTGAATAACATGAAATGTCTACCACTTTATCAACTACCAGACCCACACCAGCTACACCTTCAAAATCACACTCGTTTTCAGCATGTCACAGTACATTTCTCCAGGAGGGCGCCTCACGCCTGGGCCTAAGAGCAGCTGCATGCGGTGCCACAGGAAATTTAGCCTCCCTGGGCCCTCAGCATTCTTGTCTGTCAAAAAGGGGTAACAACACCTTCCTCACAAAAGTACTAATGATGACCCTTGAAACCATGCCCCGCACAAGGTAGCGGCCAGCTATATGGCCTACAGTGGCTCAGTCACCAAAAGGAGTCCCGGGACTACGCACATCTTAGCCCAGGGGCTATATGTGGTTTCTGCTGCATATTCTTTTTTTAAAAAAAAATCTTTTAAAAAATGTATAAACCATTCTTAACACAAAGACCTTAAAAAAAAAAAAAAAAATCAGAGCCTCCCTGGTGGCGCAAGGGGTTAAGTCTCAGCACTATGAAGTTATTGGCAGCCACTGCAGCACAAGTTCGATTCCTGGCCAGGGAGCTACCCACATGGCGCCGCAGACCTCTCCTGACACACCCACTGCTCAGCAGTGTATTTCAGTAGATCCACCTGTTCTGCTCCCCACTGTCTCTGGTGAATCCTCTCATTCCCCACATCTCTGGCCTAAACACCCCAGTTCTTGTGTGCATAAATAAATAAATCCTTAAAAAAAATCAAATAAAGCTGAGGAACAGGTTTAGCTCATGAGGTTTAGCTCTGGCCTAACAGAGCAGGCAGAAAACTAGCGTTCTCAGGCCATGAACTTTTACAGGGCTTTCCTGGAGGACTGTCAAGAGAACAAAACCGCGGTGACTTCTCTGATCAGAGGCTAAGAGTTCTGCTCCCGAGGGAGACAAGGCAGGTAGACTCACGTGGCTGCGGCTGGGGATGCACACGGCACCATCTGATTGGCCCCATGGGAACAAGGTAAGCTGGCGCCGCCGCCCTGGCCCCCGCCAACACATACACACACACACACTCTCCTACCTGGCCAAAGACTGTTCCTCCAGTACCAGCTGCTTGACCAAACAACGAACCAGTATTACTAGACCCGAAACCTGCAAAATAAAAACAGGGAGCAAGAGTCTAGCTTTTACAACATCAAAGTGGATTCCAAAGGTGGGATTCAGATGTGCTAAGGAGCTCCACAATATTATCAACTCGTGAACAAAGGCAGAGAAAGTGCTGGGTAAAAACAGGGGCCTTTCCCTTTGCTAACATATGATAATGGTGCAAAGTCCCAAGGACTGAATTGCGACTCCTTCCAAATCCCTGGAGGGCAGGACTGGTAAGAAGCACAAGCTTCAGGCCAGAGCCCCAGCTGGCAAGGAGAAGGAGCCTTTCCGAGGATGGACTTAGCAGCACGAGGATTCCCAACCCCTGGCTTTTTAAAATCTCAAATAGTAGATTCTGTCAATGGGGTTACCCTTCTTCCAGGTGGATGAGGCGCTGGGCGGAACTGGGCCTGGGGCCCCAGGCAGAACTCTGTATCAAGGACCCTAGACTGGGCGAGCTGGCAGGAGCTCTGTACTCAGCCCCTCACCGATGTCGGCAGCTGAGCTGGACCAAGTCTCGATCCCTCTCCAGGCTGGAGCAGACTGCTCAGGTGCCTTTCCACAGAGTTACACACTGGGGACAGAGTCTTCAGAGGTCCTGACTCATGCTGACACAGTCTGATGACACTTGGGAAGAGGGGCGGTCACGTGTGGCTGCAGATCAAGGGTGCACTACATCTGTTCTCCTGTGTGTCTCATAAGGCCTCTGAACCGCCCACCTCTACAGCGAGTCACTACCCTCCACTGTGCGAGCTGGCCGCAGCCAGGGGCCGAGCAGCCCTACCACGTGTGCTCGTACAGGACGGGGTGACAGGCTGCGGGGGCCGACTGTTTATTGACAGGAAGGGAAAGAGTTCCTTCCTAGTAAATTACAAACCATTTTCATACAAATCATCACGGAAGCAGTAAATTAACAGAAGATTACTGGCAGTCCTGCCTACCAAGGAATCATCCATCCTTGTTTTTTCCCAAAGCCCAGCTGCTGAAGAGATGCCTTTCATAAGGTAAGCATCAGAGTAAAACTTACCCTTTCGGACTGCTCTCTCTGCGAACTTTTAAGGGTAAAGGCCCCTGCTATTGCAATAGTGAAGGACTGTTTCTCTTCCAAAAGTAGAACATTTAAAGTTTTTAAAAAATTCAAGATGGGGAGAAAAACAATCTTTTTAAATGTTAGTGTCGGCCCTCCTAGCCAGCAAGGCGGTGACAGAGGAAGTGTACGCTGAAGACAGGCAGTGAGCGAGGACAAGGTCACTGCGTGACGTCAGGTAGCTCACCTCAGGGCGACGGTTTTGGATATCATTGATCTCTAAACTGCCTTCCAAACTTTAAAATTGTGATTCATGAGTCATTCACTATGTGCCGTGGCCTTGACCTAGAGGCTTCCATCCCCATGAAATGGGCACTTTGGGGCCCGCTGAGAAGCAGTGCCCTGGCCGAAGCCCCTGAGCCCACACGGGCTCCCAGCCCCTCTGGGCTTCCCAAGCCTTTCCCGTGTCTCCCCATTACAGAAGCAATGCAGATGTGCCACCAATGTTTCAGAAGCGCAGAGGTGAACCAAGCGCCGACCTTCCTTAGGTCTTACCTGAAGCTTGACAGAAGCTAAACCCAGAGGATGATGCCGTGGTGCTGGTGGCTGAGGTGCTGCCAAAGACAGAGCCCGCCTGGCCAAAGCTGGGGCTCTGGCCAAAAGCAGGAGGGTTGCTCTGGCCAAACAGCCCCCCTCCTGTGTTGGCAGAAGATGGTCCGAAAGAGAAGGAGCTGGAGCTGCTGGTGCTGGAAGAGGCACCAAAGACGTTCCCACTGGTTGACGTGGGGGTGGAAGAGACGGACTGACCAAAGGTGGGCACAGAGCTGAACCCAGGCTGACTGAAGGAGAAGCCGCTTGCCGGGCTGCTGGTCGACTGCCCAAAGGCTGGAGCCTGGCCGAAGGTGGTCTGTCCGAAGACGCCTGTGGCTGAGGTGCCAAAGGCTGGACTGCCAAACCCCGAGCTGCTGACCTGCGGCAGGGCAGCAGCTGTGGTGGCTACGCTGCCTGTCTGCTGCCCAAACAGGCTCGGGGCGGTGCTGGCCGCCACCTGTCCGAACAAGGGAGTGGCCGAGGGGGCAGTGGTCGTGCTGCTGGTGAGCTGGCTGAACGTGGAGCTGGAACTGGCAGCAGGGGGCTGAGTGAAGACAGAAGAGCCAGAGGTGACGGTCCCAAACACCACCGTCTCAGCAGCAGGGCTTGGAGCAAGGCTGGAAATGGCACTGGAGGTGGTGGTGGTGGTGGAGTTGGGTGTTTCTGTGGCCGCTGGGGTGGTACTGGGGGCTGTGCTCGTGGTGACAGCAGCTGGCGCTGGCACTGAAAGGGGGGAAGCTGGAGATGCCAACTCCGTCCTGACATCAGGGATCCCAGTGGCGGCGGGACTGGCCTCTACAAATGGTGTGGCGAGACTGGGGGTGGAGGCTGCCGTGCTGGGGGTGCTGGCTGCAGGCTGGGCAAGAGCAGGTTCTTTTTTAACGGGGTCAGGAGTTGGCAGAGGAGCCTGGGGTAGTTGGGCAGACTGCTGCTGCCCCGGGGAGGCTGTTGGTGCTGAGACTTCACTGTCACCCGACTTCTCAGGTAAAGCTGACGCGGCGGCGGCGGCCTCCTCTGAACTTTTACCAGAGGACACAGGCTGCGTGGATGGTGACGCTGAACTCAAGAGGCTTCCAAATGACAACGTGGGGAAGGTGCTAGGAAGCAGGGTGGCAGTGGTCGTGGAAAGTGGGGCCGACGGGGGAGCCGCGCTACTCGTCTGCTGGCTTCCGAAGGAGAAACTTGTCTTGCTACCGGTGCCAAAGCTGATACCCCTGGAGGAGCCTGTGCTGGCAAAGGTCAGACTGCCAAAGATACCTGTGGGGGCGCTGCTAGTGCTGGCGGCCGTGGCCGGGGCTGCTGTGGTGGCGGCACTAGTAAAGGAGGTCGCAGGAGGCTCCGGGGGCTTCCCTGACACCGGAGGGCCAGCAAAGCTGAAGCCCGCGGGCGCTGGCGTAGTCTTGGCTGGCTGTGCACTGGTCAGGCTGGGGGATGGCGCCTTGCTGACTGGTTTTGCAAAGTCATCTGCCTGGCCCACTCGCAGTCCTGAGAAGCTTCCCAGAGTCTCTCCAGACGGAGAACTTGGAGACAGAAAATCTCCGAACTTGGATGGCGGGATCTCCAGCTTGTTCACAAAGGTGGAGAGAATCGTTTCGGGGGCCGGCCCCTGCCTGCTGCTCGATGGGGTGGACTCCCCCGAGGAAGCGGCAGCCGGGCCAGTGGTGTGGGGCAGTGTGACTCCTGTGGGAGGCGAGCTCTCAGGGGTGATCTCGTGGAAACCTCCGGCAAACGAGACGAAGGTCTCCAACTGGCTTGTCTCTTTGGTGGGGGGCGTCACCCCTAGCAAGAGAGAAATTGGAAAATGGGTTGGATTTGGCAAAATATGACCTCTCGCCCCTCGACTGACTTAGATTTCTGAGCCCAAGGGTGTCTCCTCCCTCGACAGTCAGGGACAGTCAGGGCGAGCCTGCAGTGGCGCGCTTTCCCTGAGGAGGGTGGGATGGATGCTTCTCTATGGGCACATAGCTGAGCCATCATACTCAGCTGAAAAGGAACATTTTTTTTTCACGACCATTAAATCACAACAAATATTTACCTAGAAAACGTGAAATTAACATTATTATCCCAAAGGAGAAAGGGTTCTCCCTGGAGGTCGCCTGTGTGGGCCTTTCTCTGTACCATTTCTGGCACAGCGCCAGCTGAGGGGATCTCTCCCTCCCGAGCCCAAATGGAAGTTCTTCCTTTGGTGTTTATGGGCAAATAAAGCACCACTTTTGTACATTATTACACACAGTTAAGGGCCACTTCTGTGTGCTCTCCTCAGGAAATGGCTTTATGGAGCTAATGTGGCTTCGTAGTCAAGACATGGGCTCAAGTGGGCCGGGCACCCGGCCATTTGCTGCTGTGTTACTTTGGAAAAGGGACTATGTCTCTCTGGGCCTCAAGCTCCCATTCAGGGAACAGAGCTAATCATACCATATCTATCTCAGAGTGGTCAGAAGGGTGAGAAGCAGGTAAAGGCCCGCGAAGCAATAAGCAGCCAGTAAATAAGGGGATCTAGAAGCGGCATCTAAGGAACGCTGGCCTGCCACGGTGCTCAGTGATGTCCACAACTCCGCTGGTGACTGGACACCTGGGGGCCCGGCCACAACCCTACTGCTGCTCACAATTTCCAGGAGGACTTCACTGTAACCTTGGTCAGCACTGGCCAGTCTCAGTTGTGCCGAGTTGCTTGTGATATTGAATTGTTGTCTATTCTTCTATTAAAATTACTGATTCATTTTATTGTTTAAGTTATTTGGAACTCTGGACAATCAATCCCCCTACCTTCAATCTTTCTGTATCACTGAGTGTTTTTCCTTTAGTGTGACTGAGAAGGTGGTCCTCAAGAATATCCTGACACATCCCAGTGGTTGGAGGTTTAAGAAGAGTTTAAGAGTCACTGTTCTAGAAAGAATGAAATCAACAGCCTGCTGAGAGCCACACACAGAGTTGGTCTGGGGAGTCTGCATGGCCCTAAGCACTCTTATCTCCCTCTAGGAGACTGTACAATATACTTTTTTTAAATTAAAAAACTTCTACCACTTGGGTTGGCACATAGAAAGCACTCAAAAAATATGCTGGATGAATACATGAAAGACGGTCAATGTGTTACTCGTTATAGGCAAAACTTGAAAATAACTTAAATGTCCAGTTGGTGAATGGTTGGCTAAGGTACATCTACATTACAGAAACCACGTAACCATCAAAAAAAACCAAAACAAAAACCACCAAAACTTTTCAGTTGGAAATACTGGAAAATCCACGAGATTGTGCTCACTCTTTCCCTACAAACTGATGAAATTTAAAATTACAGATGAAAAGAATGGGGAAAGAAATTCCAACTCACATGTTAACATTCACAGCCCTGCATTTCCAGAAACAGGGCATTTCCTTGATGCTGACCATGAAGACAGCAGATGTCCCGCCATCGGTGTCTAACCCCGGCACATTATTACTCACATCAGCACCCCTTACTGCGGACATGTCAGCAACGCCCAGTGGCAAGTGAAACACCAGCGCGTCTGCGCAGCAGAACCTGCACCGGGTGAGGGGACACACGGTAAAGCCGTGCCGGGCAGAGCCCGTACCTTGTGTGGCAGTGAAATCAGAAGTCAGCGCTGGCGCATTCATCCCCAAATTAAAGCCTGGGGTGGAAGAAGACAGTCAGAAGACAAACGGAAGGCACAGTGTAGCATTCACTACAACACTCCCTGACGCACGCATACAGTCTGCTCTGGGGAATGCACGACCGGATGACAGCCAACAGCAAAGTAAGCGCCCTCTCTCGGAAGCAGTCGAGCCGCTCCAAGGTCTCCACACAAAGAAGCGAGGAGCAGCTGGCAAGGCCTGGGGGAAATGAGTGGAGTACCCACGCTTCTGGGGTTGGGTTGGAATACACGGGCCATGTACATGGAAACAACTAGTGGGGGAGGTGGGGCTCCCCGGAACCTCTCATGATCCACCCCCAGGCCAGAGCTTGTCAGGAGAGCGCCACGACGCTGGGGGAGGGAAAGGCAAACACAAAGCTGGAGCCACTGTCCCTGCTACAGGACTTAGTTCTTAGCTAAAACATGTGGTTCAGGGCCTCCCTGGTGGCGCAGGTGGTTGAGCGCCGCGCTGTGAAGCTGTCCGCAGCCTCTACAGTGCCGGTTCAGTCCCTGCTGGCCGTGCAGCAATCCACATGGCGCAGCAGACCTCTCCTGTCTCGCCCACTGCTCCCCTCAGCAGTGTATTTAGTTGGTCAGCCTGTTCTGTTCCCCACTCTGTCTCTGGTGAATCCTCTCACCCTCCCGCACATGTAGCCCATACTCTGGTTCTTGTATAAATAAATCAATCTTAAAAAATAAAAGTGGTTCAAACACTCTTGACTCTTTCACCATCTCCTCTCCTGTACACTTTCCTTGACACTGAGTAAAGACACCACAGAAAATTCAGCATGTGTGAGCCAGCACAGCCAGTTCACAGTGACATAAGGTCAAACAGCAAGTCTAAAACTGTGCAGTTTTAAAATATAAGGGACCAAGTATATCAAGTACAGTAAGAAATGCAAGAATTTAGATTTTCTTGCCCATCACTACCTTTGTGGAGTGGACAATGACCATCTTAGATGAGGTCTAAGCATTTCATCATATTCAAAACAGAACCCTTTCTTTTCTCAACCTTGAAGAAATTTTATCTGTTATAGAGATAAGTTACTGACCCTCTGAACCAAACCTATCAGCTTGTTTTTAAAAAAAAAATGGGGTGAAGGTACTGGTTCACAGAGGTAAAAATGAATTACTCATATTTGTAAAAGATGCAAGAACTCCCAGCGCTGACCTACTCTTTCAAATTTGCTACAAACAGCCTTTGGGAAGTATAAAACTCAGGGACTTACAATCAAGGTAAAAAGAATACACCATTCCACCCTCGAATTCTAACACCCTCTTTTCTCTTATTATGTTAGACTGAAGGACACTTGAGAAACATCAGGGAAGAGAGTGTGGTTAACACGCTCCGCGGGCGCGGATTTGCTAAGGGAACGGAAGCACAGCCCTCCGGGGCCTCCTTGCTCGTGCTTATCACGTTGCCAGGAGCTGACTCCACCAGGAGGGTGTGCTCTGGCCACTGCCGGAGCTTCTAGCGCGAGCGCTTGTAGCACAGAGAAAAGGCCTGTGCCTGCAAGACTGCTCAGTGGTCCCCCGAGTGAGGGGTGGAGGACGCGTCCATCTTGTAACTGACTCAACTTGACAAGGACAGCCATCGCTACTTTTTAAGAAAGGAACCGGCAACATGTTTCCCCACATCTATAACCTCAAATGTTCAAATGGCTGCTGACTTTCTGTCCCTTCTCTCAGAAGTTTAGTATTTGCCCTGTCAGTGCAGCACAGCCAACCCAAACGTCACACCTAGCCCCCAGACGTCAAATCTGGGCTGAAAAGACCTCAGTGTGAGACTCTACAGGAGCCACAGACCATGACACAGACCCACTTTCCAACGAAAATGAGGTTTATGCTTAAAAATAAACAGGCACGCACTGACATGTGGGAGACAGACTGACAGCAAAGCAGGCTGGGGCTGCGCTGTCTGTGGCAGGGAGAACTCTAGCGCAGGTCTAGGGAGTAGCCACAGAAACAGACCTACTGACGACCCAGGAGTTAGTTGCAAGGCCCTTGGCGATCTGCCACAAATTGAGGTTCATTACTGACCCTGATGGAGAAAATGGGAAAGTCTTGCTGAGCTGCCCAACAGCAGACAAGGCAGAAGTCACAGCCACTTCTGTATTGGTGGTCCCCAGCCCTGCAATCATGCAAGAAAGTAAGAACACTATCAAATACTCTGCTAGAATCACTGCTCCGTTCGTGATGATCTGCTGCACCGACTGCAGTACGGGGAGAGCTGCAGCTTTAGTCTGTGGTCTCAGGTGCGTCTCGAGAAGGCAGCGACCAAGAGAGGTGGCACAGGCCTGGGCCTCCCAGTGTCCGCCGGGTCTGTGTCAGGACCCACTCCAAACCAAGGCCTGCAACTCTCTCCTTTCCAGAAAAGACATCCCAATAACTCCAGTGCCATTTAAACTTAAAGCTTGAAAAGAGACTTACAATTATTGAGAAGCGATATACTGAAGAAAGCCCAAGAAGTAGGTTCTTATCCTAGACACTTGATTAGCGACTTCATGGCTGGCTACTTGCTTTCTCCCTACATTTCTGTATTATCCATATGTGCATGGTTTGTAGTTAACAAATGATAGCTTTCTTTTTTGTCTTTTTAAATTACAGAGGCAATACAGAATTGCTGTGATAGAGACACACACAAAGTCAGCAGTAATGCATCACTGCCCTATGCTCAATTTCATTGTAACTACTAACAATTTGGGCTGTTCTATTCACTCTTTCCCCTCCTGTTTTACCTTTGAAAGGAAGAGGAACGGGAAAATGACATTTAATAAGCCCAAACCATACCAAACAATAAAAGTACCTTCCCTTTAAATGAGTAGGATGTAGGGGCCTCCCTGGTGGCTCAAGGGGATAAGATGCAACCCAGCCAGGAAGATCGCCACATGGTGCAGCAGACCTCTCTTAACTCGCCCGCTGCTCCCCTCAGCAGTGTATTTCAGTCATTCTGCCGGTTCTGTTCCCCACCTGTCTCTGGTGAGTCCTCTCACCCCCCCACACCTATGGCCTGTACCCCAGTTCTTGTATGCATAAATCAATCTTTTTTTTTTTTTTTAAATAGAGGCATGTTTTATTTATTTATTTGTTTGTTTGTTTTGTTTATACAAGCACTGGGTACAGTCAGAATCGCGGGAGGGTGAGAGAATTCACCAGAGCCAGAGCAGGGAGCAGAGCAGGCATAAGGACCGAAGCACACTGCTGAGGGGAGCAGCGGGCGGCAGGAGAGGTCTGCGCGCCATGTGGGACCCTCTTCTGGTGGCCGGGGAGCAGCCGGGGATTGAACCGGCGCCACAGAGGCCACGGGCAGCTTCGCAACCCAGCGCTCTACCGCTGCACCACCGGGGAGGCCCCAACATAAATCAATCTTTAAAAAAAAAAAAACTTTAAAAAAAAAAAATGACTAGGGTGTAAATATTAGTAAAATTATTTTGAAAACTACTCTGATGCAGTGTAGTGTGTACACCGTGTATCCTTGTGTGTACTCTGAAAGGCTGGAAGCTGAAACACCAGCAGAGTACTGGCCACACTTGACAGGGCGCAGCCACATTATGAAATCTGGGGCCCTCACTCAGATGTGGGAGGTACAACTGTACCGGGCCTGGAAAGATCAGCCAGATCCTATTTGCTATAAGGGCAGAGGTGTTAGGAGAACGGAAACAGGTTACAAGCCATTACATATACAGGACACGCCTATTTCTGTTTAGAAACAACAAAGCAACCACAAGAGACACACACCAAGTGGCTAAGGGCTGCCATGCCTGGGGTATGGAATCTACAGGACAGTTTTTACTTTGCCCACTGGAGATCCCTGGACCACAGACTTTTTTGAGAAGATGCAATAATTTTATAATTAGAATAATAAAGGTATTTGTACTATTAATTAATTAAAAAACTATTTCAGAGGGAGAGATTTAAGAAATGCTTTTTTAACTGGTGGCGCAGGCGGTTGAGTGCAGCGCTGTGAAGCTGTCCGCAGCCTCTGTGGTGCCGGTTTGATCCCCACCGGCCTCGGAGCAACCTGCGTGGCGAGCAGACCTCTCCTGTATCGCCCGCTGTTCCCCTCAGCAGTGTGTTTCAGTCAGTCTGCCTGTTCTGTTCCCTGCTCTGGCTCTGGTGAATCCTCTCACCCTCCCATGCATCTGGCCTGTACCCCAGTTCTTGTATAAGTAAAATTAAAAAAAAAAACAAAAACAAATAAATAAAAGAAATGCTTTTTTAAAAGATCCTGACTCCCCAAAAAAGTCCTTTTTTTGGACTATCCAGCAAGTGAAATCAGAAACCCCTGGCAGTGAAAGAGAACATTACAGACCATCACTGAAAGGTGAATCTCAGAAGTTTCTTTGCGAGTCACCCTAACTGCAAAAGATACACACGAAGCCAAGTTCCTCAAATTTCTATGGTCCTTAACTTCAGGAACAAGACACTCTCCAATGTAGTCCTTGAAAGAAGTCAGGATATGATTTTCCAAATCATTGTCTGAAACACTAGTAAGAAACAGAAAAAGATACTTCACTTCAATAATAAATGAGGGCTTCCCTGGTGGCGCAGGCGGTTGAGCGCAGTGCTGTGAAGCTGTCCACAGCCTCTGTGGTGCTGGTTCGGTCCCCGCTGGCCTCAGAGCAACCCGCGTGGCGAGCAGACCTCTCCTGTCTCGCTCGCTGCTCCCCTCAGCAGTGTGTTTCGTCAGTCTGTTCCCTGCACTGTCTCTGGTGAATCCTCTCCCCCTCCCGCACATCTGGCCTGTACCCCGGCAGTTCTTGTATAAATAAAAATAAAAAATCTTAAAAAAAAATAATAATAATAAAAGAGTCAAAGTTTTGACAAGTCCACTAAGGTTTTACCTCTAACCTAAAGCTTTAGGTCCCAGTCAAGAAGTACCATGCGCCTCCTCGGCCTCCCGACAGGAGAAGCACTGCAGTTCTGCATCACTCCAATCCTAGACATCTGGCTAACCGCGATAAAGAATCTGGTGCGAGGACTTGTTTACTGGAGAAGCAATCCAGTGTCCAGTCAGAGTGTCTGCCGTAGGAAAAGGCAGAACGGAGTGAGGTGTGGAAAGCAGGCCGCGGCGTGTGAGCTCCGATTCTCTAGCAAAATGTGCTTGGTGACCCCCCGACAGCGGGAGTCAAGTCAAGAGCCGGAGCTACGTGCAGAGAGCACGCAGCCTGGCAGTTGGCACAACTGAGGCAAACCTCAGCAGAAAGCAGCACACATCAAGTAAGTGGGCTACCGGCTAAAAAGGAGTCCACAAAAAGGGGTGCTAAGGAAGGTCTCCCCATCAAAACTTGGTTATACAGAAGAGCATCCTGCTCTAAGATGCTGTGGACAGTGCGGACTCTGGTCAAAGCACCTGAGGAAACACACTTCTGAGAATAATTACACCTCTGTTGAGTTTCGGAAAGTATGCGAGGCAAGAAAATCTCTTCATCTTGATGTTATTACTCTGAGATCTTGTAACAGATCACTTTTTCTGTGTTTGACCAGCTTTTAAATTGTCCTTGTGAACCAAGAGAACTTTCCTTCCATTTAGCAGATGAGAATTCAATGTTCTCTTCCCTAAACTTTGACCCGCCAGCCAGGAAAGTGAAGACAACATTGTGGCCCTACTTTAGAGAAAGCATGTTCCCCATTTCCAGAAGTCCACAGAGCTGTGGGACGCCTTACTCATCGCCAAGTTCTTCATTCGCCGCTGCCTTTTCCAAGGTGGTCTCCACTTGAAGTCCTGTCAACTCCTCCGTGATCCACAGTGAACCCTACTGAAGGCATCACTTTCACCAAAATAAAGTGCAAACTGACCTGAAGTTTTATCACCAGGTGACAACTGACCGGATGCTGCTGGAGGCCCAGGTTGCTTCAGGGAACCTGTGGGCGATCCCTATAACAGAACACAAGCAAAACGTTTATGCCAAACCACTAGCCACCCTTTGGAATAAAAGAACATGTAAAATGATAATGTAAAATAAGCAAGCATAACCACTTTTATTTTGATTAAAAACATTTCAATTTCAGTCAATGGAGGATGAAAATAGTCGCAATGTGTGAGGGCCATGGCCACAGCGCTGCGGCTGCTGGGCAGCGGCGATTTTCTCAGTGCCAGCACAGGGCTGGCAGAGTAGAGGCACCGGGACACTTGGTAGATGAGTGGCAGGGCAGGAATGAAATGGGTTCCTGCTCTCAATACACTTACAATAAAACTAAAGCGCAAAGCCATCGGCCTCACCCACTGCCACGCAACGTCCCTGGGCTCTTACTGTCGTGACTCACACCTCACATGTCCTTCATGCTGAACACGGGAACCTCCAAGAGAATGACCACATGCCAAATGCTTAAATGCCATTGTAAGTCATGGCAAACTAAGGGACAGAGAATCACGTTTGAGAACTCACTCCCTACAGGCAAGTTCTGATGTTCAATCTAAAACCACTCAGAAGACACATGAGCAGCCGAGACGCCAGGTTTTCTGAGTGAGCCTGAGAGAGAGCTTTGGTTGCCTTCCGGTGTTCTCTGCTTTTCTTCTGGATTGTCTACCAGTTTACGATATAGCCTATTTTTGTAAGAGACAGTGTGTGTCAGGCAAAAGCCTTACAGCAGACATGACAAAGCGAGCAGGTGTGCAGCCTCAGTCAACAGGAGAAAGCACACCGGGACCACCGGGACACCCCCCTCCCCCGCCCCAGCGGCACAGACGCTGCAAGGGCAGGGACGCGGCTGCCGCCGGGGAGGCGGAGCCCCGCACCCCAGCCTGGCCACACCACTCACACTTGTGGGAGCCTGTACTGGTCACCTGAGCCTCAGATCCTTCACTAGTGACACACGTCTAAACACCCGTCCTGCCTGCTGCTAACGGCTGTTCATGGGTTAACAGCGACGATGGCTAAACGAGAGTAACAACTGCAAACCCAAACACCTCGCACAGACCTCAGGCAGCAGACAAGGGACCCACGGTTGCCAGATGGAGGCAGTCTGATGGCTACGAAGACAGTGTTGGGTCCTACATCTGACTCTGTCAAGATTGGCATAAGTTGCGGGGAAAGAGCCACAGTTCTTTTTTAGACTTACTATCCATTTAAACAAAGTCAGTACTTAAACAGTACTGTTTTCAGTTAAAAAGACAAAGACAAAGACAAAGACAGTGCACATCGATAAAGCCAAAGTCACTAAGTTAGTTACCTGCTTAGGCTGGTTGGCAGTCATTGTGGTCAACCCTGTGTGAGTCGCTCTGGTTGCAGAGGACAGCCCTGGGGAACTGGAAACACAAAAGATACACTCAAGGCATGCCTGGGTGGAAACGCACATTCCCCCTGGAGACAACTCTGGATAGCAAATGACAGCAGTCTGGACCAGGATGTCGCTATCTGGGCCCCTAGGCAAACGTATCTGATCTTTTTCTGATTAACAAATTTTCTAAATGAAATTTGGTCTCTGGAATTAAAGTTAAAGCCGTGACTTAAAAAACTTCACAGCCCCCGACCATGTTAGGGGATCCTGATTCTCTTTTCCAAGTCTGAGCAAATGCCCACAGGACCTACAGAACACGTCAGATCTGCTGCCACACAGTAGAGATCTGGTTGTATTTTTCAGAACCCATCACCAATCCCCGCAACCCAACTCGGGGAGGATAAGTATTTTTCCATCAAAAAATTAGCTTAGAGAAAGAAAGACAAAATTAAGCCCATGCCTCATGGAAGAAAATCACCCAAAATTTAATAATTTTACATGCACCTCAAGATCCTCTGCTGGAATAACCAAAGAACCTCCCCAAATAAACTCTATCAGACTGTGAGAGGGTTATATTTAACAAAAACAAAATCCCCCTGCTTTTTGTTCCGAAGGCAGAAACTACACATGTGCATCTCTCTGCAGAAACGCAACCTTGCCTCCGGCAGACACAAAGGCAGAGCACCTTCCACTCCCTGACTCAGCCTCCAGCAGAGAAAAAGAATGTGTGAGTGAGTTCCTTGGGCAGTCACAGGAGGCTTGGGGAGAGAGGGTTTGAGCTGTTGAGAGTCACAAGGGAAATGAAAATCTTTTCTGCTTTCTCCAAGACAAACAAAAATGAAGCTAGAAATAAAAGAAGTAGTGTGTTCAATTTTATAACATTTTTTACACCCAAAGTTTAGTTATGACATGACTGTAAATTAAATCGTGCATGAAGTAGACTGAGTATACATTATTGCTCTATTTACCTGTGATAATGTGGTAAATCTCTTAGGTATGCTAATTCCCCAGACACACAAAATTGGGACTCACAGTACCCGCACACCGGGCCACGTGACAGCCCTGCAGAGAGACGCTGTGCAGTGCGTCTCAGGTAACACACCAAGCGACTAACTGGGCCCCACCACGATCCAAGAGAGCAAACAAAAAAGTCTACTACTACAGAAACACGTTCAAAGATGTAGCACTGAAAAAGGAAAATCAGCAGCTAGCAACAGCCAAGAGAAGATGGAAAAGTCACAATTTGGAATTACTGCATTTTGGATGACTACATGCTACTTTGCAGCAAAATCCATCTGACATGCTCTATTCTACAACTGTGAACAAAACCAAAAGGCCCCTAAACAGAGAGTGGCACTGAGCAGTCCCAAGAGGCATTCATTACTGCTGGCGACAGCAGTAATTCACACAGCAGTGGGTGACCAGGGACATCTGCACTCTGCTTTAGAAATGAGGGACAAAGTGACACGGGTCATGAAGAGCGTAAAATTAGGTTCTTGGAGAAAAACAATTCTAACAGAATCTAAGTTCACTGATTCTCTGGGACCCAGACGACGCCGAGAGAAGATAATCAACAACCGTGGTGAAAACATGAAATGTTGTAAACATGACAAGGTCACGACGAGCCTGTTGCACGTGAGCCCTGAGCAGAGAAGAGCTCCCTCTGCCTCTGCCACCTCCCTGCAGCCACGGGCGGTCACGCGCACGAGCTCCAGGGAGCGTGAGCCCCGCGGTCACAACGCACACTGTTAAGATGGTGAACATTAAAAGGTCGGTGAAGCCTTTTCTTAGTGATCCATTAAACCTGAATGAAGGTTAATAAGGCAAATATTCATACTGCAGATGTCACTACTGAGCCGCCCAAGCTACCTGTTCTCGTCCCCATGTCAACATTTTAAAGAGCTTAAAAAAACAAGGGGTTTGATTATGCTTTATTTTGGTGACTCTTAATCATTGCCACAAGTGTCATTTCATTTATTCATATATGCAGAATAAACCTAAACCGTGGAAGCACTTAAGTTAACTATTTAATAAACAATTTTTTGGACAACAACTGAAAGATGAGGCGAGTACGAAGAAAGGCCAACTTGTCAAGAACAACTGAAGGGACAAATCAACGAGGACAGGAAAAGGAAAATAATAGAGGATACTGAGCCCTAAGCTACCCATTCATTTCCCAGAGTTTTTCTGTCCATCGTGGAGACTCTAACGGTCAAGTGTTGCCCTTACAGGTAAACTGCATCTGAAGGGCAAGTGCTGTCCAAGGTGTCATCCCAGCACCCGCTGAGTCAAATGGCCATCCCTGCGTGAAATCCAGTCACCAAATGACTTAAAAGTTATGAGCTGAACCTGCCTTAGAGCTTGGAGAAGGCCTATTGCAAATGTGAAAATAGAATCATTAGGAGTTTTTAATGTCACAGAAAGATGATATCAACTAAGGTTCATGATTAAGCTGAGAAAGGAGGTTACTGAGCAGCATGTATCGAAATTTTATTTAAAAAATGAATTTTCATAGAATAAAGATGTATAAACATGTAAATGGTAACTGAGCATCTGTGGTGGGAATAAAGGTGACTTATTCTGTTCTTCTAAACGATCTGTTTTTTTTTTTTTTTAAAAGATTTATTTATTTATTATTATTTATACAAGCACTGGAACAGTCAGAAGCGCGGGAGGGTGAGAGAACTCACCAGAGCCAGAGTGGGGAGCAGAGCAGGCAGAAGGACCGAAGTACACTGCTGAGGGAGCAGCGGGCGGCAGGAGAGGTCTGCACGCCATGTGGGACCCTCCTTCGGTGGCTGGGGAGCAGCCAGGGATCGAACCGGTGCTGCAGAGGCTGCTGCGGGCAGCTTCATAACCCAGCGCTCAACCACTGCGCCACCGGTAAACGATCTGTTTTTTACAAAGTCTACAATGAACGTTTGTAAAAAGAAAAAAAGGAGGAGGTGAACATTTTTAAAGTTCTAGTCTTGACTCTAGCTATTTTTTTAAAGTAGAATAACATCTAAGTGAAAGAAAAAAAATGTTAACTTAGACTTCTTTACTCAGGGAAAATCTCTTTCAAAGGTGAAATAAAGACTTGGCAGGCACACAAAAGCTGACAGAATTCAGATCTACAACTCAAGAAATGTTAAAGGAGGTCCTTCAGGAAGAAAGAAAATCATACCAGATGGACTAAATGAAGAAACCAAGATAATTAACAATTTGTAGCAACATACCATAGAGTTTACTACATAAGTAGAGGTGAAATGTGTATCTGGGGTGGGGAGGGAAGAAATTGAATAACACTGTTACAAGACACTGTTACAAGATTCTTACACTGTAAACTCTAACTCGATTACTTAACAGTTACAGCTAATTAATCAACAAAACAGAATAATAAAAAGAACCCAAAATAAGGTAGAAAAAGAGAAAAATGGAACAAAAGAATAGGAAAAAATCAGCAATATGGTAGACTAAAATCCAAACGTTAAAAATCACATTAAATGTAAATAACCTAAGGGCCTCCCCTGGTGGTGCAGCGGTTGAGCGCAGGGCTGCGGAGCTGCCCACAGCCTCTGCAGTGCCGGTTCTATTCCCGGCCACTGGCGAGGGTCCCACATGGCACGCAGACCTCTCCTGCTGCGCCCGCTGCTCCCCTCAGCAGTGTATTTCATCAGTTTGCCTGTTCTGTTCCCTGCTCTGTCTCTGGTGAATCCCCTCACCCTCCCATGCTTCTGACTGTACCCAGTGCTCGTATAAATAAATAAATAAATAAATAAATAAATAAGTAAGTAAGTAAATCTTAAAAAAAAAAAAAAAGTAAATAACCTAAGCACGCCAATTAAAATAACGCCTTGTCAGTTTGGATTAAAAAAGCAAAGACCCAACTACCTATTGCCCGCAAGAAGTCTATTTTAAACATAGAGACTCGAAATAAGTGCAAAGTGAGAGTGGGAAAACCCCACCCTACAACGCTGGTGCTAAACCAAGCATGCAGGAGTGGCTACACTGATGTCAGGGAAATAGGTCTCAGAGCAATTCCCCTGACCGGGGGACAAAGCGGGCCCCTCTCTATAATGCTAGCTGGGTCATTTCATGAAAATAACAATCCTAAACACTTCTGCAACTAATAACACAATACCAAAACACAGGAAGCAGAAAACTGATAGAACTACAAGGAAGATAAACAAATTCACAACTCTAGCGGAAAGCACTAACACGATTCTCAATCACTGGGAAAACCAGCAGACACAAGTCATCAGGAACACAAAGGCTCGGGGCGCACAGGGTGAGCAGGAGCAGTTACAGTGTCAAGCTGGAGGCTACGGGGCACTGGGAATGGAGTGACCAGCTGCGGGGCCCGACCACTGGGTAAAAGCGAAGCTCCAGCACATGAGGATGATAAGGCAAAAGAAGCCACAGAAAGACTTCCTGAAAACTTTCTACCATGGAAGGTTGGCGCTGAGAGCACGGGACTTGACACTAGGCAGCAGATCTTGCCTAAAAAGCAGTGGACAAAAGGCGAGGAGGACCAGCTCTACCTTGGATCTTACCTGGAGGAGGTTATTCGAGAAAAAGAGAAAACAGCACAGGCAAAAAACAATCCCATAGTGGAAATCTGTGGATGCAGCTGCCCTCAAAGTACTTTCATGAAGTTGGTTAAGCCTGAAATGTACAATCCAGAACTCATCTGGGCTGTGTACATACTACTTTAAGTATCTATTGTAACTATTGGGGAAGAAAAGAATACAGATGGCCTGAACAAGACCATCAGCTGCCTTACTTGACTTCTACGGGACTCTAAGCAACGAGAGCAGAATACGAGTTCTTCTGACGTGCACAAGGAACTTTACCAGGGCACTATATTCTAGGTCCGAGGCTGGCAGCTACGGGCCCGGGCAACTGCCTGCTCCAGTGAGCAGCCGCGTGGCGACGAGGCCCTGCCTCTCAGCCCCCACTGCCCACGACCGCATTCAGGCCACACAGCAGAGGCAAGGCAGAGACAAATAGGTCTGTGAGCCTAAAATATTTGTTTACTATTTGCTG